TGAATTGGATGGATTTTATATATTTTTGTTGTATAATTGCTCCCTCCAGTTGTACTATGGCAATGTTAAATAACAATGAAGAAACAACATTCTTGTCTGTTTCTGATCTTAGAAAAGAAGTTTTCACTCTTTCTAATGTCAGTTGTCGACTTATCATAAGTGCTTTATTGTACTTTTAGTTTCCTTTGCTTATCTCCTCATGAAAACCTGTAGAATTTTATCAATTAGTTTTTTATATCTATTAGAGCACTGGATAGGTTTGTTTCCCCCTTTCATTCTAGTAAGAAGGTGCAATTCATTGCTTGCATGACCTTCATATAGTGAGCTATCTGGTCATGTTTTATTTACTTTTAATATGCCATTGGGTTTGGCTTATTAATTTTGTATTTTTTTTAAATATCTGTAGCTATGCTGATACTGGTCTACAGTATTGTCTGTTATCTGCCTTTGGTTTCATTGTAATTTCAGCCTCAGAATAGACAGACTAGGATTTTCCCCATCTTTTATACTTTAGAAATGTTTGGATGAGTTTGTGAATATTTGGTAGAGGTTATCAGTGAGAATATCTACTCTTGGACTTTTATTTTATTAAGATGTTCTTGATTACTAATCCAATCTATCTCTGTTAAGACTTTCTATTTCTTCTTGTGCTTTTTTTTTTTTTTCTGGTTGGTCGTGGGGCTTGAACTCTGGGCTTGGGCACTGTCCCTCAGCTCTTCAGCTCAAGGCTAGCGCTCTACTGCTTGAGCCACAGCGCCACTTCCAGTTCTTTAGTGGTTTATTGGAGATAAGAGTCTCACGGACTTTCCTGCCTGGGCTGGCTTTGAACCGGGATCCTAAGATCTCAGCCTCCAGAGTAGCTAAGATTACAGCATGAGCCACCGACACCTGGCTTGTGCTTGTTTTTGATAGTTGATATGCTTCTAGGAAGTTGTCAGTTTCATCTGAGCATCTAATTTACTAACATAAACTTGCACACTTTAGTTTCATATGATGTTCTTTCCAATGACAAATCTCAATTTCATTAACTCTTTTCTATTATTTTTCTCTTTCTTGTTGTGTGTATCTCTAATCATTCATTTCCTCCTTTTTGCTATGACCTTAGTTATCTTTATCTATTTCTTTTTGTTGGTCCTGGGGCTTGTATTTAGGACCTGGGGATATATCTCTGAGCTTTTTTGCTCACTAGTGTTCTACCACTTTGAGCCACAGTTCCACTTCCAGTTTATGGGTAGTTAATTGGAGATAAGGATATCACAGATTTTCCTGCCCAGGTTGGCTTCAAATTGGGATCTTCAGGTAACAGCCTCACCAGTAGCTAGGATTACAGGCACCAGCCACCAGTGCCCAGCAAGTCTTTATCTAATGTTTTGTAGCTTGTGATTAGGTTAATAATATGAAGTGATTTAAAAGATAAAGGAATTCACAACTATACAAATTCTTTTTAACACTACTTTGCTGAATCACATTGCATTTGCTATGTTGTGATTTTTTTTGCATTTATCTCAACATATTTAAATTTTTCTCTTGTGATATTTTGGACTCCTGGTTATTTCAGCATGTGTTATATAATTTTAATATATCTATATTTTTCAAATTTCCTTCTCATAACAATTTCTATTTTTATTCTGTTGTGGTTAGAGGACGAAGACAGTTTGATCTAAACATCTTAAAATTCATTTACTTACATCTCATGTTAATTTTTAGTGTATATAATTGTGAAACACACAAAACAATAGACTTCATTGTGACATGGTCATACTTTGGTCATATACACTTTCCATTACCCCTTACTCCCATCCCTTCTGAGATAGTCACCCTTCTACTTTCATGTTTTGCTATTTAAAATCTAGTTTTGGCATATAAAAATATGTACTTATTGTCTTTTTGATTCAGGCTCATTTTAACATTATGAACTTCAGTTTCATCTACTTTCCTGGAACTTATAGGAATTTCCTGCTAATTTTTTCTTTACAACTGAATAATATATCATGTGTGTGTGTATGTGTGTGGTGTGTGTGTGTGTGTGTGTGTGTGTGTGTGTGTGTATAGATATATGTATATTTCAGATTTTTCTATCCATTTATCCATTAGGCAAATTCTATGACTTTGCTGTTGGGAATACTGCGATAAGAAATATTAGTATGCAACTATCTCTATAGAATGCTGAATTATATTCCTTCTGATATATACCCAGTAGAGCAGGTGATAAATCATGATTGTATTTTTAGTTTTGGGGATTTTTTTTGAACTTAGGGCCTGAACACTGTCTTTGAGGGTTTTTTTTTTGCTCAAAGCTAGTGTTCTACCACTTAAGCCACAGTTTTTCTTATGGATTTTTGGTAGTTAATTAGAAATCAAGAGTCATATAGACTCTCTTACCTGTGCTGTCTTCAAATCATCAGCTTTAGGTCTGTCTCCTGAGTAGCTAGTATTACAAGTGTGAGTCTCTGGTACCTAGCTTCATTACATTTAAAAAATAGTAAAGCCTTGAAAAGATAAATAAATTTGATAAGCCCATAGACAAACTGACCAAAAAAAGATGATAAAAGGCCAATATTAATAATGTAAATACTTATGAAACAATGGATTTCACAGAAAATACAAAAAACCCTAAGAATTATTAGAGATTATTTTGAAAACTTATATTTGTCTTTTGTTTATTTTTTGCCATCATTGAGGTTTGAATTCAGAACCACACACCTCTACCAATTGAATTACTCCTCAGCTCTGGGGTGTGTGTGTGTGTGTGTGTGTGTAAGAGTCCTAGGGCTTGAACTCAGGGCTTGGGTGCTATGCCTGAGTTGTTGTTGTTTTTCCTCAAGGCTATTGTTCTAAAACCACTTGGGCCATAGTTCACTCCCAGCTTTTTTGGTGCTTAATTGGAGATAAGAGTCTCACAAACTTTCCTAACAGGGCTAGCAACTGTGGATTGTCATATCTCAGCCTCTTGAATAGCTAGGATTATAGGTATGAGCCACCAGTGCCTGGCCTTAGCTCCATTTTTTTCTGATTAGTTGGAGATGGAGTTTTACAAGGTTTTCTTCCCAATCTGGCTTCAAACTGTGATTCTCTAGATCTTTGTCTCCAGAGTAACTAGGATTACAAGCATGAGATGTTAATAAGATTACAACAACAAAAAAAATATAGACCAATTTACTTGATGACTATAGATATAAAAATCCTCAGTAAAATAATTGCAACCCCAATTCAGCTACACATTAAAAAGATCATACACTGTGATCAAATTACTAACATTCGTGGCATATATAGATGGTTTAAGCTATATGAATCAATAATTCATATAGCTAATTCAGCATATTAAATTGAATCAGGGAAAATATTACAAGATTATCTCTATTATCTCAATAAATGGCAAAAAGCTTTTGACAAAAATATAACATTCTTTCTTAATAAAAGCTTTAAAGAAATAAGAAATACAGAAAACATACCTTAGATTAATAAAGGCTATATATAACAAACTGCGAAATTTATACCTAATGGGGAAAAACTAAAATTGTTTCCTCTAATGTCAGAAAGAAAACAATGGTGTCTATTCTCCAATTCTCATTTATATAGTAATGGAATTCTTACCCAGAGTAAAAAGGAAAGAGAAAGGAATATATCAGTTGGGTGCCAGTAGCTCACACTTGTAATCCTAGCTATTCAGGAGGCTCAGACCTGAGGATCTCAGTTTGAAGACAGCGGGGCAGAAAAGTTCCCATGAGAGTGTTCTCTAATTAAGCACTCAAAAATCCAGACGTGGAGCTGTGGGTCAAAATAATAGTGATCTATCCTTGAGGAAAAGAGCTCAGAGGAAAGCATCCAGGCCTTGAATTCAAGTTCTAAAATCAGCACCACCACCAACAATAACAACAAAAAGAAGGTCTGACTTTGTTCAAGGAACACTGCACTATATATATGTAATTGTCATATTGTAACCTTTTTGTAGTATTAATGGATGGTAATGAATAATTGGAACTGAGCCAAGAGCAGCCAAGTGTTCAAGTTCTCTTTTTGTTTGTGGGTGGCCAGTCCTGGGGTTTGAATTTAGGATGTAGGCTGTGTTCCAGAACTCAAGGGTAGCATTCTGTCACATGAACCATAGCTCTGTTTTGCTCTTTTGGAGGTGGTTAATTAAATTTAAGTGTTTGCTCAGGCTGGCTTTGAACTGCTATCCTAAGATATCAGCTTCCTGAGTAGCTAAGATTCAGGCATAAGCCACTGACATCTGGTACCAGAATGTTTTTTTAACTTTTTTTTTTCTTTTTTGGTGTCAGTCCTGGGGCTTGAACTCGTGTCCTGGGGACTGTCCCTGAGTTTCTTTTTGCTCAAGGCTAGTGCTCTACCGCTTGAGCCACAGCGCCACTTCCTGTTTTCTAGTGGTTCATTGGGGATAAGAGTCTCACTGACTTTCCTGCCCAGGCTGGCTTCCAACCATGATCCTCAGATCTCAGCCTCCTAAGTAGGTAGGATTATAGGCATGAGCCACTGGCACCAGACTACGTATTCATGTTGTCTTACCATTGATTCCCCAATTGGGCTATTGTCATTGGTAAACTCATGCAACAAAGTTTCATTTCTATTGGCACCAGGGAGGCCATATTGCTCTGAGTTCCTAGTGGGCGGGGCTATGTGGAAGGCAGCTGGATCCAGCAGGCCTTGCGGCTGCAACGTCATATTATCTCGCCTGTGTCGCACAGCCGCCATTGTGGTATCACCTATGTGTAGTGGAGCTCGCTACTGTGAGACGCTCCACTTCATTGCAAGAAAGAGCAAGTGAGGAAAAAGGTGGTTGCAGAGGAGAGCAAGACTGTATAAGGAATGAACTTGGATTCAGTGGCAGTAGCCTTTGCAGTGACAGCGTGGCAGCGGTAAGGCAACCCACTGCAGCCTACTTTGGTGCAGTGGGCGGCAGAGCCGGGGTCGGAAGTTGACTAGGCCGCTCTTTCTTAGGCCTCAGCTTGATTAGGCCACCACTGAACTACGCAGCCGCAGTCATGGCCTTGGACTTTGGGGATGGTAACAATGGCTTCCGCCACACTGAAGTGATTCAGTTCATTAACAGTGAAGTTATTATGAATGGAGGGGGGCCGGAGTTTTTTGTGGCCTTCAGCTCATTGTCTTGGAAGGAGGTAGAGGACCAGCTCCGATTGGTTGTAGCTAACCCGCAGATGCCGCTCTCGCTCAAGAGGGCCTACGCCTGGAGCAGCTTGGCTTTGGGTGTAAAAGCCTCAGTGAGACATTGCGAGCAGCAGGAACGTTGCGTCCAGCAGTTGCAGGACCAGATAGACAAGCATGAGGTAGCTTCTTGGGCTCTGATTTCTCAAGTGCAAAAGTTGCGTGAGGAGCGAAATGAGGTTGCTGCACAGCTGCAGTTCACACAGACTGCCTTATGGCAGGCCATGGAAGAATGTGAAGCTCTTCGCAATAGTTTGCTCCATGCTGAGAAATCAGCACAGGTCAACCCATTGACCCAAGATACAGCACTCAGGGCTCAAGCTGAGCCATGTGAGGCTGCAATGGTGCATTTGAATGCAGATCAGCAGTCAGATGTGAGGGCTGTGGGAGCTGTAGTGGGAAATGGAGCCATAGGTGTACATGACAGGCAAAATTTGGAGACTCAGATACCAGCCCCAATACCAGCCATTTATATGCCAGGAATGTTAAGTTCCTGGACCTCAGTCGTTCCACCTTTTCACCCAGTTGCTCCTCAGCTAGTAACTCCTCAGCCAATGGTTCCTCAGTCAATAGCTGCTCAGCCAATAAGTTCTCAGTTAGTCATTCCTCAGAAAATCACTCTTCAGTCAACTGATGCTCAACCAATCGCTCCTCAGCCAGTGGAGCCTCCTCTAGTCGCATTTCAACCAGTCCTTCCTCAGCTGATCACTCCACAGCCCTTCGAGCCTCACCCAATTGCCCCACTGCCAATGGAGCCACATCTAATTTCTTCTCAGCCAATGAACCCTCAGCCAATTGCTCCTCAGCCAATGGAGCCTCATCTAATTGCTCCTCAGCCAGGTCTCACCCAGCCTGTCCTCTCTCATCCAATCTTTATGCCATACCAACTCCCACTGTATCCGTCATTGCCTGTGGGAGTTCCATTTGTGCAGCCTCATCCACCTGCTGCTGTCATGGAAGCTGCATCAGGAGTAGTTCCACTACCCATGCCTCCTGTGCACATACACCCTCATGGCCCATGGAATGCAGAAGGCTTCCAGAGAGAGATCGTTCCTCTGTGGGACCAGAGGTACAATATCCAAGTGCAAGGTCTGGAGAATTTTCATGGGTCCCTCCTCCAAGGACACAGCAAAAGTCAAGGGAAAGGAGGTTCTGAGAAACCCCAAGGACCTCATCTCAGAGACAGTAGCTACTTCAACCAAGCAGAACATGCAGAGAGGTCCCAGGGAATGGATCGCCTTAGAGTAAGTGGACCCCTCTACCAAGAAGATCAGAATCGCCAGGGGATGATTCCTCTGGACAACAGCAGCTACAGTCAGAGTGAAGGTCCAAAGAAAGCCCAAGGGATGGCCTCCTTGGAAGTAAGCAGGAGTGCTATCCAGGAGGAAAGTGTAGATATTGTCCAGGGGATGGTAGGCATGAAGGTAAGCAGGAGCCATGGCCAGGAAGAAGAAAAAAGTACTGTCCAGGAGATGGCAGCTGAGGGGATAAATAGGAGCCTTAGACAGAAAGGAAGTACAGAGAGTGCCCAGAGGGAGGCAGGCTCAGGGTTCAGCAGCAATCGCATCAAGGAAGAAGGTGCAGACAAACTTCAAGCAATGCTTGTGTTGGAGAGCCAAGCTGAGAGAAAAACCCCAAGGAAAAAGCAAGAGAAAAAACCCTCACAAGGGAGAAAAACCTCAGAATGTCAGTTTTCTTCGTATTGTCATAAAACAAACTGGTTCTGCTCATGGTGTAAAGGGTTAAATTTTTCATGGCGCTCTGCCTGCTATAAGTGCAAGAAAGTTCGTATGCAAGTTGAGAGACGAGGTCCTGATTCAGGATAAACTCGCTGATTTCAGAAAGGTAAGTAAGAATTGCAATACTCCAAATGAATTAATTTTCTAAGACATTTCTTTTAGGTTTTTCTTTGTAGCAGGGTTTAATCCAGATCCTTGTGCTTTCTTGGTTTCCTTGTTTAGATGGTGCTATTCCACTTGAGCCATGCCTCTAGTCTGAACTTTTTGCTGGTTATTTTGGCTGTGGAATCTTGTGGACTTTCTGACTGAGCTGGCTTTGAATTGTGATCTTCCAGGTCTCAGAATCCTGAGTAGCTAGCTCAGTCATGAACCATCAGCACTTGGCTCCAATTGACTTTTTTGTAACAAGGGATGTATTTTATTTAGATAAAAAGCAGCTCATTTTATGTCACAGAAAATTTAAAGCCACAATTGCCCTAGAGAAAACTAACCCATAATTCCTCTGCCCAAATTGACCGCTTATTATTTTGGGTATGCATACTTACAAATATGCATGTATTTACATGTGTAGTTTTCTTACTTGAAGTAAGAGGGACTACTTTTAAGTATTACATAGGTAAATTGGGAATTTCTGTAAAAAAATTTATTGTGAAGGTGGTGTACAGAGAGGTTACAGTTACATAAGGCAGATGGGAATTTCTTTCTTTCTTTCTTTTTTTTGGGTCCGGTTGTGGGGCCTGAACTCTGGGCCTGGGCGCTGTCCTTCAACTCTTCAGCTCAAGGCTAGTGCTCTACCACTTGAGCCACAGCGCCACTTCGGGCTTTTTTTTTTTTTTTTTTTTTTTTTTTTTGCTTATATGGTGCTGGGGAATCAAACCCAGGGCCTCATGCATGCAAGGCAAGCGCTCTACTACTGAGCCACCTTCCCAGCCCCGGGAATTTCTTATATATGCATTTAAATTTTACAGGTGGTGCATTCTTTGGCTGTTGCTGATTGGATGACCCCTTGGAGAAGCTCAAGTGAAGAAACCTTTTATTCCCCACTCTTTTCTGTTTTCCTCTTCATTTTCTTTTCCTGAAAATATTGTGAGTGATTTCAGAGTTTTAAGCTATGTTGAATCTTAGAACACTTTGGCTTGAAATTGCTGTTTGGGTTGGAAACTACTCTAGTGTTCATATGTACTTCTTTTTGATTTTTAAGTTTTGTAGGTGAGGTCCAATTTTTGTGTCTCAGTTTCACCAGACTTGCTTGTTGCTGAAGAAGCTGAATGTGTCCTATTAGAAGATTTCCTCCAAAAGCCAAAAGAAAGAACATTTCAATTCTGATGGATCTGCACTTCAGTGAGACCTTCCAGGCCTCTAGCTAAGATAGGGGAAGGGAAGATAGGCAAGAAGAGATGTTTTAGTACTCATCATGGTGACACTGTAGAACAAAGTAGTTCTGACTAAAATTTGTATGCGTTGGGGAAGGGACTAATTGGGAAGGTTTAGGAGGGCTATGGTGTTAAATTTACTATATATTGCAGGAAATGGATTAATTTTAATTCTTTTGACAAGTTTGTTAGGGGTTAGAAATGTTCACTATTATCTGGTGCATTAATCTTTTTTTGCATTGATCTTTTTTGATGAATTTGGTTAGATGACTGGAGAGAGTATAACTTGAGATGCAAATTAGGAATGTGACTCTAGGTAAAATCAATTAAAATAGCATACAGATCCATTTTTGTAGTTGTGGAGGCAGCAAGAAAGATCTGAGTGACCAAACTTGGTTCCAAGTGAGACAAATTTACAGTGGATAAGATAGGTAAAGAGGCCTCATGAAATTTCAGGCAGTGCTTTTTTAAAAAAAATCCTCTCCTCATTTTTTCTTTGTCACACCAAGCTGGGTGCTGCTAGCTAATGCCTGTAATTCAAGCTATTCAGGAGACTGAGATCAGATCACGGTTCAAAGCCAGGCTGGGCAAGAAACTCCATGAGACTCTTACCTCCAATTAACCACCAAAAAGCCAAAGGTGGAGCTATGGCTCAAGTGGTAGAGTGCTAGCCTTGAGCAAAAGAAGCTCAGGGACAGTGCCCATGCCCTGAGTTCAAGCTCAAGGACTGGCACACACAAAGAAAAGAGATGAGTGTCAGTGGTTCATGTCTGTAATCTTAGATACTTTTGGAGGCTGAGATCCAAGGATCATGGTTCGAAGCCGGCCCAGGCAGGAAAGTCCGTGAGACTCTTGTCTTGAATTAGCTACCAGAAAAGCTGGAATTGGAGCTGTGGCTCAAGTGGCAGAGCACTAGCCTTGAGCAAAATAGCTCAAGGACAATGCCCAGGCAATGCAGCTGTGGCACAAGTGATAGTGTACTAGCCATGAGCAAAAAAGCTCAAGGACAGTATCCAAGCCCTGTGTTCAAACCCCAGCACTGGTGTACAAAGAAATGTGGCCACATGTATATACACACACAGACAGACACACACACACAGACACTGACAGACAGACAGACAGACAGACAGACAGACAGACACACACACCCCTAATCACATCAGTCTTCCTGTCTGCTCATCAGCCTGCCTGAAAGACCACTGAATTGCATTGTCTGGAACAATGTCGACTATACACCTTTCAAATCTCTGCTGCCTCCATTCCAAATCTCTCCAGTTATTAGTGACTGTCTGAGGGCAGATATCAGGGCTAGTGTGCTTTCTGTATATAGATGGTGATTCTCTTGCGAGGCTTAACTGTGTTAAAAATAGAACTGGTTAGCTTGTTGTGGGTGGATCATGCCTGTAATCCTAGCTAATCAGGATGCTGAGATCAGAGGATTGTGGTTTGAACCGCTGGAACAGGAAAGTCCATGAGACTCATCTCCAATTAACCAGCAGAGAGCTATGGCTCAAGTGGTAGAGCACTACTCTTGAGCAAATAATGCTCAGAAACAGTCTAGGCTCTGAATTCAAGTCCCAAGACTGGCACAGACACAGACACACAGACACACAGACACACACACACACACACACACACACACACACACACACACGTCAGGGACCAGTATTCTTGAGAATGCCCCTGGGGGCTTTTCCCTTCCAATAGATGTGTTGTTTGTAGTTTTCTCTTCTTCCCTAAGACAGCTGTGGCAAAGTAAGGAAGAGCCAAGGAACGTTGAGTTGGGAGAGTGGGAGGTGATGATGATCTGCCTCCAATTTGAAGCAAAGGTATCTTTGTGTTACCTAACACAACAGGTTCCACATTTGTCACAGTTTTTCTGATCTTAACTAATAATAAAAGAGTGTGAAATTATCTCACGTTTCTTGTGTATTGTGTACCTTGGGGTAAGTGCTTTGAGCCAGCAGCTCAAAACTCCATCTTCAGTCTCTTCCCCTGAGGTAAAGGAATGTTCAATCTAGCTCAATATTGAGATTCTTCTAATTCTTATGAGTTACACAAACATTGGAAGCACTTGTATGGGTCCTTCAATCCATCATCATTTTTCTCTGCTACCCTTATTATCCAAGTCCACTTGGCCCCTTAAAGTTAAACCTGGGTGTTCCTTAAGTGTTAGTGGAGTACAGGAGTGGGAAGATAGAACAAAGAGGTGGGGGGGGGGTGAGATGAGGTAGATGTTTTGCTCACTTTGGACCCCTAATGCCTAGGATCTCGCTACCCCATGTGTACCAAGAAGCTATTTCCCCAAGGCTGTTTTTATAAGGACCCTTAATGCCTGGGATCAGAAATTTCCTTCCTATGCTTTTCTCTCCAAGGCCTTGTCCCCAAGCTGTAGACTGTCTTCTTATAAGACTTTCTATCAGGCAAAGAGGGTAAAGGCTGGCAACCTGCTTGATAAGGGACAGGAATGGGACCAGAGAACAAAAGGGACCCTGCCTCAGCAGCCTTCTTACATCCCTCAGACATGTATGTCATTATTGAGATGGCCCTGGTTACTTGGGAGGGGAGCACTGGAGATGAAGGTGTCTGTTAGGGTCATTAGACCCGAGTCATCTGGGTTAGGGCAGGATTTTATTCTTGCATATACTGCAGATTGAGCACAAAGCTTTGCATTTCATAGGCAGATATTCTACCATTCCACCCAAGCTGGAAGCTTGTTTTTACTTTTTTTGAGGTAGCATCTTGCTTTAGCCATGATTATTCTATTTTAGGTTTTTCATTGTTTCTGGGAATTATTAGGCTTACACTTCTACATCCAGCTTTTGTCTATGGAGATTTAATATACTTGATTTTTCCCAGGATGGCCTAGAAACTTGTTTTTCCCAATTTCAGCCAACTATATAGCTTGAGATGATGGGAGTATGATTTTGCACATCTATAAGTTGAGAAGGGAACCTTGTGAATTTTTCTGCCTGGGCTGACCTGGAGACATATTTCTCCTGATCTCAGCCTTCCGAGTAGCTAGGAGTACAGGCATGGACCACCAGTGCCTGGCTTGGGCCATGTTTTTTGATGCTTGGGTACTTATAGCTCCTTGGACTTTTTGGAATATAGGGACCAGATGAGAGCTAGGAATTTTCAACATATTTTATTTTCATGTACCAACAGGCCGTTCTGGATCTCACTGTAATTGCTGCTTTTATGATTCCAAAATAGTCTCTGTTGTTTACTGGTATATATTTTGACTTATATGAAACCACTTTGTGTGTATACCTTTTGTGTGAGTGTGTGTATATACCTTTTGTATATTTTAATTGGACTGCAGTCTTTCAGAACTGATCTTTTAAATTTTTTAATACTTTTTTATTGTAAAGTTACATGAGTAAGGTAAT